TTTTTTTTTTTTTGTTTGAAAAATTCATCAGTCAATTCCAGAAGCCGCCTAATTCGTTTGTGCGCGCGTGTGTGTCCGAGTTAATTACAATTTTGGCCCTTTGTATTTCCGAATGTAATGCATACGGAAAGACCGACAAAAACCGCCACCGCCGATGCCACAGCCTCCGCCCATCCCCGAAACGTCGGAATAAAACACGGAGATAGACCGGGTTTTTCACAAATGAGCCAGCAAACTAGAATAACAATATTAAAAATTCATCTGAATTTTTACACGGTTTTATATATATATATATGTATATACACACATACATAAAAGTGAAAAAAAAAAGTATGGAATAACGGGGGGCGGCATTTTCACTACTGGTATTTTTAATATAGTCCACATACACGGAGTGAGATAGAAAGAGAAGGAGAGAAAACGAGCAGAGTGTGTTTTAGTTTATTAGCCTCATGTGGGGAAAAAAATAATTTGATTTTTTTTTCCGAACTGCAGCCGCGCTCGTGTGTGTGTGTTTGTGTTCTAGGATGCGTTTTTATTCGTACTTTTTGTGTGTGTTTGTGTTTATATATATATATATGCAATTGGTACTACTGTGCAACGAGCGGCGTTTTTGTGAAAACTCAGCATTGTTTCCCCATTATATTTACATTTCCACTCATAAATATTCCCAGTCTGTTATTATTTTTACCATTGACATCGTAAACTTTAGAATTATATACCAAAAAAAAATACAGGAGGTAGAGCACGCTTTCTTCCGGTCGCACTTCTGGAAAGGAAGCAATTGTGATTATTAAGGTGAGCAAAAAAAAAATTAGAAGTTCAGCGCACGCTTCTACATCCGGTCGCATTCCTCGAGGAAATTAAGACGAAGAAGTGTACAAAGAAGGGCTCGGATGCGTAACGCGAGTAGCAGCGGAATTAGGCAGAAGTGTGACCGGAAGCGGTGTCGGCAAGGTGAGGCGAGGCGGAGATCTGCCCACTGATTCCCTTTCCGTTTTCTCCCTTCCGTATTTTTTTTTTATAATATTAGTATTCGATGACGATGAAGGAGTTCACGTTCATTATTAACGAAGGAAACTAAGTTTTTCTTGTAATTTGGGGGTGTCCGGACACTTTAGGTCAAAAGTATTTTCGTGTGCGGGGGGTGAAAATTGTGGGTTCAATCGTAGGCGGCTAAAACATAGTAATTTAATGGCACTTAAACTGTTGCAAGGGTAGTTGGTGCTTTTTTTTTTTTTTTTTGGTTTGGTCCCATCAAATATTAATCGAGGCTGCTCGAGTGGAATTATTTCATCGGATTCTTTGTAAGAATATGCGCTGGCTTTCAAAGGGACGGATGGAAATGCGGGTCGGGAGTTTTTCTTATTCTTCGTTTCCCTCTTTTCGCTCGTTCGCTTCCCTTCCCAATGGTTAGATAATAACCAGAGTTTCTGAAGGATTTGTTGTTGAGGCTCCACTTAAGGATGTATCAAACTACCCGTAGGTAGTGTGCGCAGCGAGTGGAGTGGAATGAAGAGAAGGCGATCTGCGTGAGATATCTTAGTTCCTCGTCAGACCACTAAGGCCCTTGCATGTCGTCCTGCAAGGACGCGAGCGAGACAGGGAGAAAGGACTTTGTCTTCCCTTCCTTCCGCTTCCGGATCCGTCGCACCATTCAACCTCACCTTAATATATCTCTCGCCTTACTTACTCTACACACTAACAATTACCTCCGTTCCGCCATTACCGTCGCATTTATAACACATGCAAACACACTTCGCACGCTCTAAACCCCATTTTCTTCAGCTAACAAACACACAGCAACAAAACGAAGGAATATCAAGATTTTATGCTGCTTCATATATTTTTTTT